AGATTGGGATCGTTTTAAGCCACTAAGGTTTGGAGTGATTTGTTACACAGAAATCAATAGCTAATGCTTACTGCATATTAATTTGATGAATATTGTGTACTTACCAAAAATAAGGTACCGTTTACTACTTTCCCTCTCCGTGCATTCACTCTGTCATTAAAATATTACCTCAAGAATTTCCTAAATCATCCCACAACATGCTACGTCTACTACTGCTGCCTTCTGCTGAGTCATCACACCACCTTCTCTCATCTGGACTAAAACAGCCTTTAAGTTAGTCACTCTGCTTTGCTTCTTGCTTTCCTAAAATCCATCCTCTATGCAGGAGCCAGAGTGGTCCTCATAAAGCAGCAATCAGATCATGCCACCTTCCCCTGCTTAACCCCTTCAAAATGTTCTTATTGCACAAGGAATAAAACTGAAATTCCTTGACCTATAAACCCCTGCATAATCTGGCCTTTGCCCCATCTTTTACTCTCCACCCTGTCTTTTCCTCTCATTCTTAATACTCAGCAATGAGCTGAAGGCATTTTTCTGGGTTCAAACCAGCCAAGCTTTTGCACTTGCTCTTCCCTCTACCTGGAACACTCTTTCCCCAGATCATTGCATATCTGGCTTGAACCCAATGTCACCTACTTATTAACTAATTCCCTTGTTTATTGTCTGTTTATGCACACACATACCCCACTGTAGTCCCTGAAAGCAAGGATATTGTCTGTCTTACTCCTTGTACTTAGAACACGGCCTGTCACATGATTAATATGAGTGAAATGAATGGACAAGCTATGTCTAAAGATGCATAAATAGAAGCAAGAAGACTATATAAATGAAAATAATGGTGTGTGAATGGAGGAAATGTGACTTTTTCCATTTTAAATTTGTTTTGAATACAGTGGTTACATTATATTTTTAAAACCCTCTATACAAGTAATTATCTACATTGAAGTAGGATTAAAAGGCTACCAATAGGTACATTCTGGGGCTGCTGAAATTTTCTTTTTCTCATGATGCTTTACCTTTTGACTTTCTAGCTCTCATATAAGACCTTCGCTGGGAATTTTCTAGAAGACCTTAACTGAAAATGGCCCCCATGCATAGTTTGTATAATTCACTGCACTCCATTCTGCTGGACATTTTCCAAAGATGAAAATACCCAGAATTATCCACTGGAACCCCTTTGCAAACATGAACCATGGCTGGACCAATTCTGATATCTCACACTCCGTTTCCAAGAGAGAAAGAAGAAATTCTTCATCCTGGCCATATGTATGGTAAGTTCTTATAAACATTAAACCTTTACCATTCCAGAAATATTTATTAAATGCCTACTAAATGCAAGGCACTTTGTTGGATGTTGTAGAAGTAAACCAAGACATTTATTTATTTAGTCAACCTTTTTCCACTTCCCAAAATGATTTGGAATAGCTTAACAAGAAAACATGCAAGAGGGAAGAGGAAGGAGGATGAAGAAGAGGAAGAGCAGAAAGAGAAAAAGCAATAGAGCCAGTGAAATATGAACAAAACTAGAAAGCTATGACCAAATAGAATAACACCATGAGAATCAACATCCCTGAAAATTGATGATTGTTGAAGATAAACTTCAAATTTATCTCTGTTTACAAACCCTGGTTCGGGCCTTCCAACAGCTTACAGTTAAGCAGAGGAATTAAGATACGGACATAAATAATCAAAGGAATTAAAGAAAAGCTTGAGCATCCCAAGGAACTACAGTGAGACATTGTAAATGCAAATGTGCCCCTTGACCAGTACAAGAATTGCATTGTGAGAATTCCAATAATTGTATGCAGATTCCCAGGCCACTGTCACAACACACGCCTGTGAAGATCTGCTCTGATTCCACAAAGATGTATCCCAACCTGACTGCCAGGGAGAGGCAGTGGATGTACTGGTTAAGAGCATGGACTTTAGAGCTGAGGCTGAATCCCAGCCCTTCCACAAACTGTGTGACCTTGGTCAACTTACCTAACTGTAGTTTCTCATCAGCATAATGGGGATGACAATCATGCTGGACTAAGAACATTGATGTAAGAAAGGAATTGATGAGTTAATACATATAATGCACTTAGATTAGTGCCTGGGACACAGCAACTATTCTGACAGCATTAAAATCTCCATGTGGAGAAAAAGAAGTAATCAGATTGATTGCTTACCAATTTAATACTAGGAATGAATCTTTACACTAAGTGGAGCAATTCCCTTTATGTGATGGATTTTAGTGTGGACATCATAATTATATGTATATTTCCCATTTAGCCTAAACTTCCACAAGTTTTTCAGGAATTTTGAATCATGAATCTAGAAAGGATCTGACACATCAACCATTGAACCTATATGCAGCTAAAACAATGAGGCTGGAGTGGGGTGAGGATGGGGATATGGCCAGGGCTCCAAAACAAGAACACTAGAATCCAGAATAAATTCTTGGATTTCTGCTCTTTCCACGAGGTTTTGGAACTGGGAGTGGGACTGCTTAACAGCATACTCTTGGCTTTCTAGGCATTCTAATCTGTCAAGAAGTTATTAATTCAATATTTCTTTGTGCTCTACTATGGTAGAAACAATGCTAGATGCTTGGGATAAAATGGTGAGCAAGAAGGCTGATTACCATTCTTCTGAAGATCACACTCTAGCAGGGAATGCAGACATTCATCAAACGATCATGGAAACAGATGCTGATTACAAGTGTGTAAAAGTCTACAAAGTCTACATGGTCTTAAGAACACATTTAGTAGAGGAATTTAGCCCAGTTAGGGAAGGCATCCCCAAGGGAATGACAACTGAACCTCAACTGGGCAAGAAGGAGGGAAGGAAATAAGAGTGCTCCAGATGGAGAAATCAGCAAAACCCCTGTAATAGGCAGAAGAACAGAGGACCAGTGTGACTGAAGCACCGGAAGTAAGGGACAAGGGGATACAGAGAGGATGAGATCTGAGAAGGAGGTTGGGTTCAGATCAATGCAGTCCTTCAAGATCAGTTTAAAGATTTTGATTTTTATCTTAAAAGAAATGGGCAACTGGGGTGCCTGGGTAGCTCAGTCGGTTGAACATTTGCCTTCCGCTCAGGTCATGATCCCAGGGTCCTGGGATCGAGCCCCATGTCCATCAGGCTCCCTGCTTCTCCCTCTCCCTCTGCCTGCCGCTCCTTCTGCTTGTGCTCTCTCTTTCTCTGTGTGTCAAATAAATAAATAAATAAATAAATAATCTTTTAAAAAATGGGAAACTGTTGGAGGGTTTTAATCAAGGGGATGACATGATCAAAATGTCCTTTTTAAAGGATGGCTTACTGTAATGTTCTAGTGAAGAAAGACACTAGTAGACAGACACTGGGAGGTTCCTAGGGTGGTGTCAGGGTAAATGGAGAAGTGTGGATGGATAGATTCAAGATATATAGGCAACAAAATCAGTAAAACTTGGTTAGAGTAGACCAGAGGGATCTGGGAGAGGAAATGGGAGGCATGATATCATGCTTGCCCAGTCTCTGGTTTGCAGCACTGGATGACTGGGGAGTGGTGTCATGAACTGGGAGCGGGGATACTAAAAGAAAACTGGAGTTTTGGGGGAAGCAGAAGAGACAGAGGTACTGAGCCAGGTACCAAACTTAAGGAAATGTTTTTAAAGACTTCAAATCCATTTAGTTTAGGTTTTTTTAGTATTTTATTATGGCACACAGGATAGAATATGGTACAGTGTTGTTACTTCAAGTAATTCTGAAACCAACCGTTTCCATTTGGCTAAAGTTACTTTTTTTAACATGTAATTTGCATCTGTCTTAGACTTATCATGTGTAGCATCCCATATTTAATGAACATAAATGTGAAAAGCTTGGTTTCTTAGGCAACTCCTCGTCTTTACAGAAACCAATATACTGAGAATCTTCATAGTTCAAATCCATAGCATCGTGATGAATTATTTTACCTATTTGTGTGGTGACATATATTTAACTAGAAATAGGTAGTGTGAAGAATCAAATAAATTTAAATGGAGACCACTTTGCTCTCAGGTTAAATTCGCTGACTTTTGAAAGTTATTTAAAAAACAAATATGGAACAAAATCAGCTGACAAAGCAATTGTGTAAGAACAAAGGCAGAACAGCGGATAATCAGTAATTTCATCTACATTCCACATCAAGTGCAAGAGCTTTCATGACTTTACAGTGAACAGGGAGGATGAATGGGGTGTGTGTTTGATGCAATGTCCAACCAGTTAGAGCTATCACTGAAATCCAAATATTTCCCAATAAAGACATGCAGAGCAATGCAATGCAACATACAGGTATAATCTCCTCCCTTTACTGACTGATAACAATTTTATTATCTGTTATCTGTAGTTTTTAAAAAAGTTTAAAGTGGGTGGCATTAAATGTTGTGTACTTGAGGCAACGGAATCAAGCTATTAACACACTGAATCATGAGCTCAGGATTGCAGGCAACATGTTTGCAATGGCAAATGATCTTTGATATTCTTACCCCCAAAATTATACATGGAAAAAAAGATTTCCTTCTAATTATATCAATTGCTTGGGTTCCCACTTCTGCCCATGGTATTTGGACTATATTAAAATAATGTAGTTATAGTAATGGATGGGTGGGATTCATATTCTAAACACACTGCATTAATTATTTAAATCACCTATTTACCACAAAAGGTGTATTTATCATATTACACCATTGCCTCCCAAGAAAGGCATTCCCAACATTATATACTACCTTTTATGGGACAGAGTATATTGCTAATTATAAAAGAAGAATCCCAGAGACTCCCATTTACTCAAGTTTATTATCAGCAAAATTTTTGAGGGGAGAGATTTCATGAATGGTCATGACCTAACTGTATCCCTCAGAATTACCAATCAGGGGGAAAAAATATCCATTGCAATTGTTAAAACTGGGGACTTAAAAAAAATTTGGAGGTTGATAGTCCCCTTGGCTTATACTGGTGCTTTAAGATATTTTAATTAAGTCAACAACCACAGCAAGAAATGTCATTCAGTGTAACTTTATTTACTATGTATTGCACATGATTCGAGGTCTTTAATTTCTAACCACCAAAGGTTCAAAGGACTATTTTTACCATGAAGTTTAACATTAACATCAGTGAATTCATTTATTCATGTGTGGTTTTTTTTTTATTGTAAACATCTGAATTATTCACATTGCCATAGATCCTGAACTCGTAAGCGTGGACCATGCACAAGCTGGCAGCAAGCCAGGAAGCCACTCTGCAAGCAAACAGATACTCTGCATAAGGAGAAAAGTCAGCACAACATTGAATGTCCAACCTAAGTCATCTCTGAATTATACATATATTGAACTTCTTAATTCATATAGTATCTGAAACTCAACTGGTTGGTTGGTGATGGGGTTGACCTGATTTCGGGAGAATTCTTCCTGGAAGGATTAAGGACAGAGGGGCTCAATCTTTCTTTTTAGTTGCTTGCTCCTCCCCAGCACCTTCGTCTTTTTTCTCCTCCTCCTCTTCAGCTTCTTTGGTTTCTTCTCCTTCTTCACCTTCACCTCCTTCCTCTTCCTCCTTCGCCTCCTCAGATTCTTCCTTGGCAGCTTTAACATGAAAAGAAAATGTACAAACTCCAAATCCAGGGCAAGGCATTCAAAACATTTCTGCTAAGTTTTGTGTGGAACTCCAGTTGTCAGAAAGCTTCCCCCAAACTTCTCAGCTCCGTCCCCCGAAATTCTCAGCTCCGTCCCCCAACACACATACAACTGATGGTGCTGGCCACTGAACTCAATACCTTCTTCTTAGAAAAAAGCCAAAAAGCAAACAAGTATTTAAAAAAAAAACCTATTTTTGTTCTTAAGGCCACCAAACTGCTGGGTCAAATAGATTTTTTAAATGTTTAACAAGAATAAAAAGACAGCAGGAGGAGGATATTTTGAAATGTTATTTTCACAAAGCTACCAAGCTAAGCAGAGAGGACAGCCAATTTGAGAAACCAGGTACTTACAAAAGGTTTGTCGAATAACTAAAGGTGTTAATTAAGATTCAAAAGAAATATATGAAAAAAACTTCCTCGGCATAAGCAAGGCTTCATTTCTCTTAGCCATCTCCTAGCAAATTCCCATGCCCTGATTGCACTTGACCTTGTAAGAATTTCCTTTTTACCATACCTTCTTCCTCTTCAGCTCCTTCCTCTTCAGCAGCCTCTTCCTTCTCCTTCTCCTCCTCCTCGGCTTCTCCTTCAGAGGGGGGTTCGTCCTTGGCTTCCTCGGCCTTTGCAGCCTCAATGGTCTCCTCCACCTCAATCTGCTCCTCCTGGACGTGGCTGGCGTAGTAAGACGGGAAGGAGCGGGCAGACATCAAGTAGGAGCTGGTCTGTAACCCACCATAGGCAGATCGGCCGAAGACCTGAGAGCTCTGGGAGTAGCCACTTGTTATGCTTCCGACGCTGGTGAAACTGAGTCGGGTCTCCTCACCTTCCAAGAGTTTCCTGGGAAGGCAGGGGAGCATGGGGTTAATAAACAGGAACATAGAAAGTGTGCCTGCTCTGAGCCCACCACTCATCATCCTCCCCTAATGCCACCCCTAAAGGCAAAGGAGAGCAGGAACAGGGCTGGGAAACTTCATGACTGGGGATGTCATGCCTGGCACCAGAAAACAAAACAAAACAAAACAAAACAAACAGAAAAACAAACAAACTTAAAATAGCCCTGTCTATTCGATGTAAAATGTAATGAGAAACTAAGACTATAACTCTTTACGACATAGGGTCAAATTCTTCTGTATCTGTCTAAAGACCTTCTTAGAAAAATCCAAAAAGCAAACCATTATTTCAAAGGACTGTTCTTGAAGGTTTCTGACTCAATGTAAATGAAATCTGATTTTCTTCCAAAACCTGAATGGCTGCTACCACTCCACTCTGTTCTCACCTGTAAGCTGCAATCTCAATGTCCAAAGCCATCTTCACATTGAGGAGGTCTTGGTATTCTTTAAGGTATCGTGCCATTTCACTCTTTGTGGTTCTCAATTCATTTTCTAATTTGTTGATTGTGTCCTGTTGGAGGACAAAAAAAATCCAGTCATAAATCCCACCTGCTATCATTTTACTGTAGTACAGCTGCAAAGGCCTAACCTACTTAAAACCAAAGTGCACCCCTTAGATAAAATCTCCCCTAAAGCACTGCCTTTTCTCTTTTTTAACCTTTCCTTCCTTGCATTAAAAAAAAAAAAAAAAAAAAAATCCAACTCGGAAGCATGAAAACAAAAAAATAGTTTAAAAAAAAAACCTGATAGAAGAAATTTTTTTGTTGTTTTCTTTTAATTACTACAGTCTAAGAATCATCATAAAATGTCTGCAAAATTTTTTTAACTGATTACAAAAAACTTTGTTTCATATTCATTAGTTAACTTTATCCAGGTCAGGAGCAAGAAATTACTCAATTTCTTTACAGGAGTAGGAAGTAGCTAGATAAAAAAAAAAAAAAAAAAAGTAGTAATTGTATCTAAAATATTTTCTATGTACCTATATTATATTTTTTCCTTCCCAGAAAATGGAGATCCTTAAAAAGAAATGTCTTATTGCGAACATCATTACCTACTACAATTTTGACTGCATTCTTGTCTACCTAAGGGCAAGGGGTGGTTGATAAAACTAGTCTTGAGCATGCTTGGTCACAGGTATCCTTCAGAACTAATGAAAGCTCTCTGCTGTATTTATTAAGCAGATGGTCCAATCTGTACTGCAAAGTGACTTGTGGTTAACGAAGGACATTAGAGAGGCAGGCCCGAGGCAACGCCCAGCTCCCACCCCTTCACCCACCCCACCCCACCCCACCCCACCCCTGCAGGGCTGGGCAGCTCTAATGCGGAGCTAGATTCAGCAGCACCAAGCACCAAGTCTCCTCAGGCTGCAGTGGAGCCCCCCCACCCCCGCCCTCCACGTGCCCCACCCCTGCCACACAGTCTCCGAGGAGCCAAGTTCTACTCCCTAATAGCTGCATGCGGATGTCTCATCTCTGGTCTCCACTTTCTCCGCGCGTCCTCAACTCTCCACCCTCCGCCACCCCACCCCCACAACTTGCTCCCGCAGCTCCCTCCCCGCCCCCCACTGTGTTTTGCATGGTGCCGTACCTGCATAGCACTAATATCGGCGTTCTGCTTATCCTCCAGCTCCTGCAGCTGCTTCTCCAGCGCTTCGTTCATGCCCCGGCATGCTTCGATCTCCAGCGTCTTGGCCTTGAGCAGGCGGCGGCTCTCGGACACTTCGTCCTTGGCGGCGCGCACCGCGTCGGTGTTCTTGGCGGCGCTCTCGGTCAGCACGGTGAAGCGGCTCTTGAACCACTCTTCGGCGTTCTGCATGTTCTTGGCAGCCAGCTTCTCGTACTGAGCACGGATGTCCTTGAGCGCGGCGGAGAGGTCGGGCTTGGAGGACACGTCCATCTCCACGGAGATCTGAGCGTACTGGATCTGCGCCTGCAGCTCGGCGATCTCCTCTTCGTGCACTTTCTTCAGAAAGGCGATTTCGTCCATCAGGCTGTCGATGCGTTTTTCGAGCTCGGCGCGGGCTAGAGCGGCCTCGTCGGCTCCTTTGCGCGCTTCCATCAGCCGGCCCTCGGCGTCCTCGCGGCTCAGCACCTCCTCTTCATAGCGCGCCTGCAGGTTGCGCAAAGTCTCCTCCAGCCCTTCGCGCTCGCCCTGGAGCGCCTGCTTCTCGTTGGTGGCGTCTTCCGCCGCCAGGCGCAGGTCGCGGATCTCCTGCTCGTACAGCGCCCGGAAGCGGGAGGGCTCGGAGTGCTTCTGGCGCAGCACCAGCAGCTCGGCTTCCAGCACCTTGTTCTGCTGCTCTAGCTCGTGCACGCGCTCGATGAAGCTGGCGAAGCGGTCGTTGAGGTCCTGCAGCTGCGCCTTCTCCTGGGTGCGGATCGACTTGAGGTCGTTGCTGATGGCGGCTACCTGGCTCAGGTCGAGGTTCTCGAGACTGGGCATCAAGGAGCTGGAGCTGGAGGAGTAGCTTCGGCGCACGGACAGCGAGGAGGAGACCGGCGCGGAGTAGCTGGAGTAAGCGGAGCGCGCCGTGCTGTAGCCGCTGCGCACGCTGGAGATGTGAACCCGGGGCGTCTCCACGTAGCGCCGCTTGTAGGAGGTCGAGTAGTACGGCTCGTAGCTGAAGGAACTCATGGTGGCGGTCGGAGCCCCTCCGGCTCGCGGCGGAGATGGGGGCCTACAGAGAGAGAAGAGCGGGGGAGAGAGGGAGAGGGGAAGGTGGATGGCTGTGTGCGGCTCGCCGAGGTCCTGCCACCCCTATTTATACGCGGGGAGCATTCTGACGCAGCCTGCGATCGATCACGGCGCGCCGGGCCAGTGGGGGCAGCGCGCTGCTGCAGCCAAGGGGAGGATTCTGCGCAAAAGGGAAGGCGGGGGCGAGCGACAGGCAGCTCCGGTGCTGCGGCGCTCGTCCTTTCCACTTGTCTCCGGGGCTCTGGATTTTGCCCTGAGACCCCTTCCCCTTCTCTCATTCCCTTCCCCAACCCTCCCCGCCCCCATCCTAGCTACTCCCTTGACCCCGTACCACACGGATGCCGCGTCCCCAATAATAGGTTCTCACTCCCCACTGACACCTTAGATTTCTGTATCCACGGAGACACCCTCCCCCCTCACTTGCCCCTTCCCCACCGGGGGACTCTGCCGTCATCCCCCTTGGGGTTTAAGGTGACAAGACAGTGGCTCTAGGGCTTTCGAAATCAAAGTGAAAAGTTTAAGCTTGCGTGAATAAGGCTTATATGGGAGGAAAGTTTTGTATTTCTTTGTAGCTGTTTCTGGCACTTTCTTTAATTCCTCTCCCTTTCTCCTGGCGGTTTTTCTTTTTCTTTAATGCGCTGCTTCTGCGCGCGCGCGCGCACACACACACACGTGAAACTGCGGCACTGCAGGTGTTGGTTTTAGCATTTCTAACCCCTTAGAGCAGTTAATAGAAGCCTTTCAGTGTTCCTAGATTTTACCATTTCTTTCTAGAGAATGAAGCCGCGGGTGTCTTTAGCGTGTTAAAGCATGTAGGTGGGGGAGAGCCGAGAATGAGTTTGAAACTAACCGGGGGAGGGGCGGGGGCGGGAACCGACTTGCAAACGCAACCCGAGCTCTGCAGCCGGGTCCTACAGACTGATCCACGCTGCCTGGATCTTCATCAAACTAAACTCCTGCTTGCACACCACCACCTCCGACACACTAAAAGCCCCTTTCTCTCTTTTTACACCTTGTAGCATCCAACCTGATGATTTCCACATGTCAGGCAGGTGGCTGATTGTCAGAGGGAAGCTGCGGCTGCCAGCCCCGAGTGCGGAGGGCCGTCTCCCTGGAGAATTCAGACCCGAGACCTCTCGTGCTGGGGCGAACGGCAAATAGCTGCATGATTCTTTCCCCGGTTCACTCTAATAATTAGATTACAGATACAGTCAGACATCCGTGGATTTTCTTTAGGAAACACCCCGATACCTGAAACAGTGTGCACGCCTTAATGCACATTGATAAAGCCCTGCGGTTTGCAGAGCATTTCACACACATAATGCTGGGGAGTCCTGGTTTCCGGGAGGGATTGCAGAGACTTCCATGGGATAACTAAGATTTTTTTTTTACAGAAGCACTTAATTTCTGCTTAATTTGTTTAAAGGGAACATTTGACGTGCAACTTACTAATTTTTTAAATAGCAAACTAGGGGAAAACCTGCTAACAGTTTTCAAATAGAAAAGCCGGCGCCGCTTTCCCGGTGAGGCTGAGAGGGTGAAGTGCTTGGAGCGGGTACCACAGTTGCTCCCAGAGGTACTGCACTCCTCGCCCGACAGGAGGGTGGGATGAGGCTTAACCTCCGGGGTTCTTTGCAGCTCTAAAAAAAACTCTGCGTTTCTGATACCCCCGCTCTTTGTGGTAGAGAGAAAGATTGCAGCCGAGAACTTGCATGGGGTTTCTAAACATTATAGTCTCAGGTAATGCAACTTTAGAAACATGAGCATTTGTTGTTTAATCTATCAAGAGGTCCATCCACATCAATCATTCTAGGATTTCAAGCCTGAGCCATGAGGCTCTCCCTGGTTGGCTTGGCCCTGACAGATATGTTAGGGCCCTTATTCTGATGACTTCCTATAGCCCACATATCCTTGGCCTTCACATTCATAGGTGATCCAACAGTGGGAAAGGTTTCTCTGGAGAGAGAGAGAGAGGGAGTGAGGGAGAGAACCTACATAAGTCATAGTTTTGCCTGCTCCCCATTACCCAGCGTGGCTGAAATGCGGCAGAATGGATTTGTTTTCACCTCTCCCATATAAGCCACAGTGTGTCACACTCACTGTGTGTGAGGCTGCCTACAGATGCCACACTCTTAAGTATTCATGAATTCATTTTCTTTCTGCCAGCTCTCTTCCCTCGGAGTTTCAGGTCACCCTCCGAGATCTTAAGTCCATCAGCGTTTTTGCCACATCTCCTGGCTGAAGCCTTTGACTGCAGAGGAAGGAGGATGCTGCCCCAAAAGGGGGGAGGCCGCCATGGATGATGGATGCTGCAGGGCCCCTGGAATGCCTTGTAGGGAAGAAACCTGTGGGGAACCTGCTGCCATCCTTTGGGTGGCTGAGAAAGGAGGTGCTCTGGAGTGGAGTGAGGAATGGAGTGGAGTGGGGCAGTCCTCACCCTGGCTGGATGCCATAAGCAGGGAGTCAGGAGAAGGGCACATCAACTGTATTTCTGAATGTAGATCTCTTGTCTTTTTTAAAATAGCTCCTGGCATAGCCACCTCAGTCTCCACTACAGCCTGCTTTCTGGGGGCTCCTGAACCCAGCCTGTGTCTGGGTTTTGGTTAGCCTACTTTCAGCCTCCCTCAGCTAGGCGCCTGCAGCTTTTTAATATTCTGTCCAGTCATCCTCCTTTTAAATCCTCTTCCCAGCATTTTGTTCTGAACGCCCATGTGGCGTTTGCTCTGTGTCAAAGCAAAGGTAAAATGAGCAACTTTAGAAAACCTGTTTTAAAAAAAGAATCTTGACTTTTCTTTCCCCTACCAGAAATGTTTCTGCATTAGTGTTGTTTGTAATGGTGTCGTTATTTCTTTAGAAGAAGCCTTTTGGGTCTTGATACACACTGGTGCATTTATTTTCCTTTAAGCGTATTCTCCACCAACATGAAATGGATTGAGTGCTGCCAACAAAACACACTCTTAGGAGATACAAATTATTTTAAAAGCAAATGTGGAAGTATGTGGATGAAACTCACTAATAGAACTCTATCTGTAATCCCCTAAAGGACTGTTTGAGGTAATTTAGTTAAAAAGTAAAATATACTCATGTTACCACAGAGCTCATAAAATATAACTCTTAGAACCACTGAGAAGCTGTTGCTTCTCCAGGGCCAATAGAATCAGAAAGCTTCAGATGGGTAGGACCGGGTCAGTTTCGATTGCACTATTCTAAAATTCTGGTACAGCAGGAAGATCTGTATGAACATTTGTTTTGAAAAGCACAGTCTGAAATTCTTACAAGGCGGGCCTCAAGAAAGCATAAGTCTGGGGGGACAAGTGAACAAAATACTCCTGCCACCAGTGAGCTATGGAAATAGTCCTAGTCCAGAACAACAGACAGGTCCCAGTCACCTCACCATCATGTAGACAGACACACCAGTGTCAGCATCCTTTTGAAGCAAGGAGGGATGAAGGAAATAAACACATGCAAGATCCCTACCCTATGACAGGCCTTTGATATCTACTCTATAATAATTAAAAAATCCCCCTGAGATGGTGGTTATTATTCAGCAAACAGCTGAGGCCCAGAGAGGTTAAATAATTTGCCAACTCACACAGTTACTTCAGACCAAAGCTCAATCTGCTTCCAGTCTGCATAGTGCTCTACTCATAACACACACTGCAGCCCGTGGCATTTGCTGCTTCCATATGTCTCTGTGGAATTTGATAATTGCAGCCCTCAATCTGCAGTGTGTGCATGCAGTAAACCTCTCGTGTTTTGAGGACACCAATCTGAACTGATTTACACCAGGAAGACTGTTACCGAGCACATTTCCTTTGGACAGCTAGTGATGGCAATTGACTATGATTGTTGTAGATTTCTTAAACCTCCCAATCTAAAAGAAACTGGAAGCTACCATTGGACCTGTAACTGGTGATGTCCCCTTTTAGGCACTACTCTAAATATCAGTTTACAAAACACCTTTCCTGGGATTCATGAGCTAAAATACCACTTAGCTGATCTAAACTCTTTAAAATGACTGCGTTGTGATTTCTGCCTTTTTTTCTATTTAAAATCCTTTCATTTTCCTGCCCTTGTAAATAGGGTTTCTTTGATAAAGCGACTTGAAAAATTGCTATAAAGAATAAAAGAAAATGCTGGCACTTAATCTCCCATTATTGGAGTTTATCATGCTTTCTATAGATCTTTAACTTTTTAAAGAGAAACATGAATAAAATCAACAGAAAATGTCTAGCTTGGGGAAGCCACAAATAGATTTCCTCTGTTTCTTGTCACCAGTTTCTTCATATGTTATGCTCACCCTAGGAATCACCATCTTTTGGGAAATATGTTTGAAAGAAAACTTTCCCCATTGTGATACAAAATATGCCCCATTTTATAACACCACGTTGTGAAGGAAAGCATCATAAAGTGTGCTATGCGGCTATATAAAATTTAGATTGCAGCAGGAAAGGAATGTCATTTGAATAGCTTAAGGATGAAAAGCATGTTTGTATTCAAAACACGTGCAATATTAGAAAGGACAGGATCTTGCTGCTGTCCGAGCAGAAATAATGGTGATAGGATCAAACCCGAAAAGCTTGCTCCACGGAACTAGCCAAGGTAATGTATTTCCTCCCCCGAGGCCTGCTCCACGGTGTCTTGCCCTTAATCACAATCACCAGACACAGAGGTAAGAGAGTATGCCGGGGACATTAAAGGGCTTAATTGGCAGTCATTTCAGGCAGGTCCCAGCCATCTCGGGCACAACCCACAGTACTAACCCTGTTTGTTCTGCCGTGACTGCAGGGGAATGCACGCCGCCGCTGCTGTAGTCTGGGTACTAACTCGCCACCAAACATTCCATGCGGCCCCTGGCTCTCTGGGCTGACCTTTAAAACGGTGATTTAATAAATCAAGCGGAGGAGTGTGAGGTTTACAGTTTGCAAAGATAGAGGATATGCATTTCCGCCCGCAGGAGACAAAGCCCAGAGGTTGAGTCTTTCGCAGCCCTGCAGGAGCCCACCCAGGGCAGCAGTTGGCTTTCTCGCCAGTACCTCGCCGCTACACGAATGCAGCAAACACTGCGGTACGATTGCAAATGGGCGGATCCCTGGATTCCTACAGGAGAGCAGGCAGGCTTCTTCACCCCAGGATATGTAACACTGGTGTTTGTGAGCACGTAAGAGACTGTCTGGGTTAGAAAAGTGAAAGTGGACTATGTCTAAATGTCTTGTTGATTGATTAAATAACTCATATGTTCGTTCATCCATGAAGCACCAAATGGCAGCAGAACCCTTACAATGTGCACGATTCTGTATAAGTGCCATGGGGCAGGGAATGGGGAGTGCAAGGAGTTATGGCACAGTCCCTGTCTCCAAAGGGCTTGGAAAGGACCTGAGCACAATAAAAAGACCAGCCACCGTTACACACAACAACATGGGT